GAACATAATTAACTCACACAAAAAAAAGACCAGATTTACTGGCCTAAAGGAGACTGGAGAAACCTCGAGAGTATGGCCCCCAGACACCCTTTTAGCTCAGTGGTGAAGTTATCTCCGAGGTTCACCATTCAGCCTGGGAGTGGACAGCCCCGTAAAAGCAAATGAGACTAACGAGGTACAGTAGCCCAGTGACAAGGGCCAGAAGGCAGAAGGGGACAAGGAAGCTGGTGATAGGGAACCCAAGGTTGAGTAAGGATATTGTTGATGTGTTGTGAGATCATTAACCATCGTCATAGGGCAACATTTGTAGTAACTGTTAAATGAGAAACTATTTTGTTCTGTAAGCCTTCATCTTAAGTGAGAATAACAGCACAATTGGAAGAGCGTAGTCAATGTCACTGAACTGTGCATGTAGAAATTTTTGAAATGGTGTATCTTTGGCTATGTGTATTTTCACCAAAAAAAAGGTTGAGAAGTTAGAGGGTTCACATGTTGTGGGGTTGTTAACCAATGTCATAAGACAATATGTGTACTACTGTTTCATGAGAAACTATTTGTTCTGTAAGCCTTCACCTGAAGTACAATAAAAAACAAACAAAAAAAATGCACAAAGATGAAAATAAAATACTAACGTTGTGTTTAGTAATGACTGAATGAAGCATCTGACAATAACTGAACTTTAGGTGAAAAGGGTTGGGGGTTAATAATACCCAGACATATCTACTGTTAACATTTTGATGTATATCCTTTCAGCTTACAAACACACACACACTACGTATATATACACAAACACACAATTATTTGACCAATAAATATTAACTGAAGGAAATTTATAATTCATATAACTCAACAGTGTTCTAATGAGAAAAGACTCTTAAATTCATAGAAAATGATTGCAAGGGCATTCATTAAAAGGCAATGAATCCACTCCAAGTTACACTGTAAAAATAAAATCACTTAGCAAACTCAAGCTGCTGCTAAAATCTAGAACTTTTAAAAGCCCCTATAGATTTGGGATTCCTCTTTATAATTACTCTTGATTCTATTCTTTAGAGGCTCCTCCATGATGTAAACTTAGTTGGATGTATTTAAGATCTGAAAACCATTAGAACTAATTAAGATGAATTTGGCTTTGTTCTTCAACTTCCTGTAAAAATGCTCAACAGGAAAATTGATGCTCACAGTAAACCACAGTCATCCTGTTTCTTTAACACAAACTTTTCACAGCTGCCGTTGTCTGTAGTTTCTGCTTCATGATATGAGTCGCCATGCAACAACCCCGCCTCCCCCAACCTCCTTTCCCACCCCCACAAAAAAGCATGTTGTCTGATCATTTCACAAACTTATAATGCCTTTGCAAAAACGTTTGTTTCTATTATTGTTACTCTTCCTCTCTCAGGCTAAAGGTGCTCCTCACTCAGAGGGTTGCAGTCAATGAGGCAACCAATACAAGAGGAAAAAGAAAAAAAAAGTCCACTCAACCTAAGAGGGCGCAAAAGGCAGAGAAGAGAAACAAGCTTTACTTTATAAGCAAAGAAACAGCCTCGCTTCATTAGTTATTTATCACTGTTAATTTTTCAATTTGAGCCAAGTGTGGAACATGCTTGCTGTACATGGAAATCTCTAATTTCTCAAAACATACTTGCTCTTTTCTCCTGGTTCATCATCATGAAAAACAACAGCTCAATGGAATTCTGCTCAGGTTGTCTCTTCAATCTCAAGGTTCACGTCTCTGTTGTACTTTGAGGGTCCCTCGCTATTTTAGAGCTCTTTTTAGATAAACAGTTGGTTTATCTTTTGGGGGGGTGGTTAGGAAATGCATTTTTCAAACGAGGTGTTTTGAAGCATCTACGATGTCATTAAGGTTAGCCAGAAGCCTGGACACAAACTCACAATTTTCCTGTAAGAATAACTGTTGGAGAACTAAAGATTGCTATGAAATAAAAAAAAATTTTTTAATCCGCTGTCATATGTATTTAATTAAAAAATTAATACGAAAGTTGCAGGTTTCATTGAAATCCAAGACCCTTTGAAAAGTGAGAAAATGAAGGTTAACTGAATGACTCCCATACTTGTCATATTTAACTGTGGGAATATTTTTGGGAAAACCTTCCTACTTTATTCACCCAGCTAAAAAGTATCAGTTGTCTTCCCACTACCTCCCATCTCTTCTAAGTGCTCTCATTAAAGGGGTCAAACTGGAAGAGGTTGCATAGGTCTGGCTCACTATTATCACTCCCCTTTGCTATCCCCCCTGCACTGTCTCATGATCTTGTTTTTCCCTCCCGATCCAGTCTCCATAAAAAGTTTAACCGATGTTCCTCCTTGGAAGGTGGAAAACAAGTGATAATGATCTAGGAATGAAAAACCAAACAAAGCACCCATCTTGGGACAAGAAAAACAGGATGTCACCAGATAACCCCAGAAAAGATGAACTTATCTGGGACGTGACCACCTCAAGGCGGAACTAACACAAACTTCTAAGACCCATAATCCCGTCCCTATAAAGCCTTCGGCCAATCTCTAGTGGGAAAGATGGGTTTTTGGAGCAATCTATTCCCCTCTGTCTCCATATCGATATATAATAAAACTCCTGCTGCTCACCTCACCCCGTCTCAGAATTGGCTATTGCGGCACCCGGCTCCAATCCACGTTATTGCGGTAACAAAATCTCAAAGCCAATCTTCTCCCCAATCTTCAGCACCACATTTAGTTTTACCAGAGGATTAAGATGTTCCCCCACTCCCCTCACACTCACACACAGACCCACACACAAACGGGGCACATGTATCAACACACTTGATGTATTTTATTCATTTTATCATTGTAAGGGTGGCCTGGTAATAGAAGCAGAAGTTCACCAAATTTATTTCTGAAAAGGTCCAAAGACTTAAAAAGACAAGAAAGCTGGAAAATGACTTACTTGAGATTATTCATTTTAAAGATATTTACAATTGCTGTGGCATTTAAAACAAAGCATTTGTGTAACCTCAAATTCCCAGGACTGGAAAGGACCCCAAGAAATCATACAATTTATCATGTTGTCTCAGAATTGCACCTACAAAAAAAGCTCTTGAAATTACACAAAACTTTTGCATACTTATTCATTAGGTGGCCTTGGGCAAATTACTTAGCCTGTCTAAATCCCAGTTTCTGCAATAAAACGGGGATAATAGTACCTGTTTAGTAGGGTTATTCAAGGGGTAAATGAGGCAAATGCTTAATAAGTATTAGCCATTATCTTTTAAAAAAATAAGCAAAATGCTTTGTAAAGAGCCCGACACACTATTTCAAGTGCTCAATAAATGTTACCTTCTTTCCCTTACTTAACCATGAAAAAAGAGAAACCACGAGCTGATTTAAACGTTAACCTCACATGTGCACATGCACGCAAGCCTCTATATTCCAAGTGAATGTTGAAGGGCGATGTGTACGAAGCATGTTTTAAATTTATCAGAAAAGCATAAAGCCTTTCTTTATTCTACTTTTTTTTTTTTTCAGATTTAATTTTCAGGACTGAGGGTTGCAAAATAAAAACAGAGGTATTTGTAGCAGTTCAGGGGAAAATGCTCTTTCCAATGAAAAGTAAATGCATGACAATTTGGAGAAACAAAAATGAGTCAAATCTTGAAGCAGAAACTTAACACAATTTAAATAGCCAGAAACATCTAAAGTAAATGGCGTGTTCATGAAATATTAAGCAGACTTCAAAAGGGCATAAAACCCGAAAGGTCCAGGAATTAGGCAGCTCACTTCCTCTTACGTTTTAGCATAGGCTGAACTTCCAGCTTATAGGCTAGATTTAGAATTAGATTTCATCATGATCAGGGTGAAACTGCTGCTAAACCCTAGGTAATAATTTTCCCCATGGGGAGTTCTCTGAATATTGCACTTTATCCAGTATGCTTACGTACTATTCTTAAGAGTTTAGGTATTAGAGTAGTTGAAGAGCTGTGGATAATTAACCCATGAATGAACGTTCCAAAGAGCATTAGAAAGTCTGACTGTGACTGTAGAGAAATTATTTAACCTCCATTGACACAGTGCCTGCAACAATGGTCTCAAGCATGACAATGATCGTGAGGATGGCACAGGACCAGGCAGTGTATCATTCTGTTGTACACAGGGTCGCTAGGAGTCGGAAGCAACTAGATGGCACCTAACAACAAGAAGTTTTGACTAGATGATGTTCCAGTTCAAAAGCAACATACCTATATATGAAGTTAACATATAATATTCTAACACTCACGATCCAAACAAATAGTAAAGGTATGGCTTCCATGCTAGTTGACCTTAAAACCTTTCCCAAGCTCCTCATCTTTCTCACCATCCTGTCTTATTCTTTCCCGTCTTTCCACCTACCCTTCTCTCCACCAAGCTCTCCTACTTTTCTTAATCAAATCATTCTGCAGCCTTTTCAATTCACCACTTCTCCATTTTCTACTATATATACTAGCTATGCCGATTGACTTCTTCCCAAAAGCCCCTGCTTAGAAGTGAGTTAGTTTGGAACTTGAACTTAAGTAACAAGTCTGTAGTAATTGAATGGCAATAGCTTAGCACCATGGGGCTTTCGTTTGAAGCTTCAAATGACCCTTTTTACTTTAAAAGCAATTACTGTTGCTGGCCAAGCCACAAAATTACCTTTGAATAAAGGCAACTGTGTGGACAACTGCACCATACACAGAAAGGATATTTTACTGACATAAATGCTCATTTCAAATATAAAAAATATTCCTGTGGACCCGAACTTGTCCAGTGCTCAGGAAAAATTCTACTGAAAATTCTGCTTATCTTGCAGCTCAAAACCCAAGTTACAAGTCACTCACAATCACCATAGTGGTGAACTAGCATTTTGTGCAACAGGAATAGATCATGTGGCTTTCTGCTGAAAAATTAAGCAACTTTATCTTGACATACTGTGGCCCATTAAAAGCCATTTAGCTCTTCCCTCTAGCTGGTAAAAGCAATATATTTAGTTTGAATATAATTTTTCTTACCGTTAAAGGATACTGCAGGACATGCATGATCACAGACACAGGCAGACAGAGAGCAAGCAAGCCATGAGCCAAGAGAGAAAACCATCCCTGAAAAAGGCATCATCTTCTAACGCAAACTTGGGGTCGTTAGCCAGCCATTTTGGACAAGCTCTGGCCTCTTGTTAAATGTGACATACTGAGTCAGAGGCAGATGTCCTTCTGTGGCTATTCACTTCCTGTCTGATTAATTTGTTGCTTGTTCCTTCCTCCTTTGCTGTTGAAAAAAGAAACTAGATTGGTTTTACTTAAGAAGCAAACAAGGAAAAAAAAAAACCTAAATTAAAAAAAAAATTAAATATATTTCTCCTTCTCCCAAGGTGTAATATGTTTGGTATAGTGACAAAAGGAGATCAGCACCTCTGTCCAGTTAACAGCTCAGCTTTATTCTAGACACAAAAATAAATAGTTGTTCACAGAACTTGCGATTCCTTCAGGAAAATTCTATTTGAAAGCATCACTCTCAATATTGGCTAATCCCCTCAGTAATTAAGGAAGAGAGTCACTCAAAAAATAAAAGCTCTCCGCTACACTAACAACTAGTAAGTGATTCTTCCTCATCTACAGTGTATTCAAGAGTGTAGGGAGAAAGTTACAAATGCAGGTGAAGAGAGAGGTGAAGTGTATGAAGAAGGCAAACGAGTTCTGAAATGTGATTCTGGTGCCTAAGTCAGGATAAATGATACGCAGCTCAAGTCAGCTGCAGATCCAGAGGTTTCTATGCCCCAATGTTTGTTTTCAGTGCTTTGTACTTAACTGGGCAACAATAACTCTCCTAAAGAAGACAAAAGTACAGAGAAAATGAGGGCAGAAGGAGGAAAGTTATTCTCATCATTATTAAGTGACTCTAAGAGGTGGATGGTTAATAGAATGTATGCAGAAAATGTGGCTGTTGTTGTTACGTGCTGTCGAGTTGGTTCCAACTTACGGCGACCCCATGCACCACAGAATGAAACATTGCTGGGTACTGATCCTCAGAATTGCAGAATATACTTTACTAAAACCTTGAGTTATGTATAGAACAATCTGAAAACGCCTGTAATTTTTTTTCTGAAATACCTGAAAGGTTTTGACTTAAATTTGCAACACTTACTATGTAACCCTGAGAAAACAGTACTAGTTGAAAGAATGAAAAACAGAAATATTTCAGATACTAACTTTACTGTAGGAGCCCTGGTGGCGCAGTGGTTAAGAGCGTCGCTGCTAACCAAAAGGTTAGCAGTTTGAATCCACCAGCTGCTCGCTGGAAACCCTATGGGGCAGTTCTACTCTGTCCTATAGGGTCGCTATGAGTTGGAATCAACTCGACGGCAATGGGTTTTTTTTTTTTTTTTTTTTTTGGTAACTTCACGGTAAAATTTGAACGCTGCTTCCTGATTCTGCTGGGCTCAGAGGAAAGGGGCATAAAAAAGACCATAAGCTGCCTAACATTCCCTAACCCATAAAATGATAGGACTGGGCTAGACCAGTGGTTCTCAATTCAGGTGGCTACTGAAATGTGTGGAGTAATTTTTAGCTGGAGGCAAGGGGTGGTAATGGGGGTGGGGCAAGTAGGATTTAGTGGGTGGGGCCAGACTGTGAAATTTCCTGTAATGCTTAAGATAGCCCCACCCAAAATACCAGTATTGGCATTGATGATGTCTAAGGTTCTTTCAAACTCTAAATTTTTGAGATGTAAGTCTAACTGTACAGGCAGAATTTCATGATGCCTGCTTGTTGTTGTTAGTTGCCAAGTCAATTCCAACTCATGGTGACCCCATATGTGCAGAGGAGGGTTTTTGAGGCCGTGACCTTTTGGAAGTGGATCACCAGGCCTATCTTCTGAGGTGCCTCTGGGTGGGTTCGAACCATCAACCTTTTGGCAAGGAATTGAGTACTTAACCATTTGCGCTGAATTCCTAGAAGTAGCACTTCCAAGGATTAGTGAGTGACCAAGAGTCGTCTACTTTGCTGGGAGCCACATGAAGGCAGGGACTTGGTTCGCCTTGCCTAGTGCAGGGCCTGGAGTCTGAGAGACACTCCGTATATGTTTGTGAATAAATGCGTGCAGGCGTGGGGCTGGACAAAGCGGGACGCCTGCAGCTATCAACCACTCATCCCTCTGCCAAGCCTTGGGAAAAAAGAACACTTGATAAACTATCAAGTAAATGCTTGAGTGACCCTTTGGGGAAGTCTAACTATAGTTGGGGCTGAAAAGGGAACATGGGCAACAGGATGATTTCTCTATGTATTTATAGAATTATTTTGAAGTTCTCCAAATAAGGCACTCCAAACACACACACACACACTCAGCACACATACAGCTCACAACTAGTCCCATACATTAGGGAAAGCTCAAGTAAAAGGAAGCGTGTCACCCAGAAGGCTGGAGCCCATGAGAAACGCAAAGGAGTAGTTGTTTAGTTTGGGTCCTATTTCTTCTTTAATGAAGACTTGTAAATGCAGTGAACTTTGGACACAGTTCTGTGGTGTCTGCTATGCACCACAGAACATATACCAGATAAAGTTCCTCCCCTGCTTAAAATCCTCCAATGGTTTCTCATTGAACTTCAAAAAAGTCCAAACTTTTTGCCAAGGTCCACAAGGATTCACGTATCTGGCCCCGCCTTAGCCGGCTGACTTCATCTCCAGTAATACTCCCTCTTGCTAATTTACCTTCCAGCCCTCTTTCTGTTCCTTAAATACACCAAGCTCATTTGCATCTCTGGGGCCCTTCACTTGCAAGTCCTCCTGCCTGGAACACTCATTTCCAGGTTCCTACTCATTTTTCAGAAGGAGCCGTGGTGACGCAGTGGTTAAGAGCTCGGCTGCTAAACGAAAGGTCAGTGGTTCAAACCCATCAGCTGCTCTGTGGTAGAAAGATGTGACAGTCTGCTTCTGTAAAGATTACAGCCTTGGAAATCCTATAGGGCAGTTCTACTCTGTCCCATAAGGTCGCTAGGAGTTTGAATCGACTCGATGGCAGTGGGTTTGGTTTTTACTCATTCTTCAGATGTCAGCAAAAATGTCATCTCCTGAGAGAGGCCTGCCCTCATCCCCATCTCTGCTCCTGTTTTCTTTTATTCATAGCACCTGTCACCCTATGAAAGTTTCTTAGTTTAAATACTGTTTATTTACTTGCATGTCTCTTCTCACCGGGATGCGAGCTCGATGAGAACAGTGACCCATCATTCTTGCTTACCACTGTCGCCTCAGCACCTGGTGTCTGACACAGGAGCAGATTACCCGATAAGCAAGGTAAGCAAGGGCTTACTTGTGCTTACTTACTAATCTCTATTTGTTCACTACAGATTTGTAAGAAAGCACAAGTAAGTCCGTGCTTACCTTGCTTACTGGATAATCCATTCCTGTCAAGGATTGTAAATGTGAAGAGGCTTTGATTCCGTAGGAAGGTGCCCTGACATTGGGAGAGGGACAGACGCCAGCCATACCTAAAAGCAGAATCTTTGATGTAGTGAAAAAATGTGGAATTGTTCACTACAGATGATCTGGTAAGCAAGGTAAGCACCATGCTTACCTTGCCTATTGGATAATTTGCCCCTGGGACACCTTGCAGGTGCTCCATAAATAACCATATGTTGAATGAAATACAAAATCAATATCTCTTACAAGTTCTACAATAACGTAACGTTCCTTTAGCAGATTAAAATTGTTCCCCCTCAATTAGTAAATACAGAGTAACAAGATTAGACTTGGGCCTTCTTGGCAAAAGCTATTAATGGGAAATTTTTCAGAGGAAAGAGGCCACAGATCAGCGGGTAAGGCCTTTAGCCCATGTGCAGATGTCATGAGGTGGCAAATGGCAGTGCAGGAGGAAAATGAGTTAAGCAAGTTGAAAATAAATCAACAAACCAACCTAAAAAGGAAGGGGAAGAAATAAAGAGATAACGGAAATAAGGCAGGGAAAGATGGAGACCAGAGAAATGTGGTGTAAAGGAAAGAGTTCCAATCTCTCCTGACCTCAGAGGCCTTGGAAACTATCCTCTGCAAAGGACGACAGACAGGTTGTTATGGATTGAATTGTGTCCCCCAAAATATATGTTGGAAATCCTAACCCATATACCTCTGGTTATAATCCCATTTGGGAATGGGTTTTCCTTGTTATGTTAATGAGGCAGGATTAGTGTAGGATGTGTCTTGAGTCAATCTCTTTTGAGATTTAAAAGGAGCAGATTAAAAGCAGCAGAGATGGGGGATAAGAGATGCCACACCACGGGAAAATTGCCAAGGAACCAAAGAACAAGGGTCTTCCTCCAGAGCTGACACAGACAGAGCCTTCTCCTAGAGCCAGAGCCCTGAATTCGGACTTCTAGCCTCCTAAACTGTGAGAAAATAAATTTCTGTTTGTTAAAGCCACTGACTTGTGGTATTTCTGTTATAACAGTACAAGATAACTAAGACACAGGTGTTGGGCATAAAACTGCTGTCTGTCCTTCCTCTGTGTTCCCTGATCAGCGTCAGCTTTTCCAGCAGCAACATTCTTAAAGAATTTAAAGGCTGAAAGAGACTGCAGAGATCAGAGTCTAAAAGCGTCATCTACAGATGAGGAAATGGGGAGCCAGTGAGGTTAAGCGACCTGCCCGTGCTACACATCTGGCAGCAGAAGAGCTGGTGCCAGAAGCCAGGTCTCCCACTTTATGTGCCATTACTCTGTCTTACGCCTTATTTTAGGCTTAGAAGGAGAATTTCACCTAACTCCTTTCTATAAGCACAAGAAAAGGAAGAAGGAAGAGGAGTAAAGAGAAAGGCTATGATGTGGAGAGGAGAAGTTGAGGGAACTTATGGCAGATGACCCTAATCTTTTCTGTAAAGTAAATTCATCACTAACGGCATGGGGTTGGATTAGGAAATAGGAAGTATTAGCATATTTGCTAACAAAGATATGTAGTAGCTGCTAGGTGGAAGCTGCTAGTAAGATATGAATAAAAGGGATTACCAGAAAGACTCCTTGAGGGTTGTCTTGGTTATCTACTGCTGCTATATAACAGAAATACCACAAGTGGATGGCTTCAACAGTTTATTCTCTCACAGTCTAGTAGGCTAGAGGTCCGAATTCAGGGCGCCAGCTCCAGGAGAAGGGTTTTTCTCTCTGTCAGTTCTCGAGGAAGGTCCTTGTCATCAATCTTTCCCTGGTCTCAGAGCTTCTCTGGGTAAGAACTTCGGGTCCAAAGGATGCGCTCTACTCCTGGCACTGCCTTCTTGGTGGTATGAGGTCCCCCATGTCTCTCTGCTCGCTTCTCTCTTCTGTACCTCAGAAGAAATTGGTTTAAGACACAATCTAATCTTGTCGATGGCATCAACATAACGGCCACTAATCCATCGTGTTAACATCATAGTGACAGGATTTACAACACACAGGAAAATCACATCAGATGACAAAATGGTGGACAATCACACAATACTGGGAATCATGGCCCAGCCAAATTGATATACATATTTTTGGGGGACACAATTCAATCCATGACAAGGGTATTATTGTTGTTATTAGTTGCTATGGATTCCAACTCATAGCAACCCCATGTGTGCAGAGTAGAACTTCTCCACAGGGTTTTCAAGGCTGTGAACTTTCAGAAACAGATCACCAGGCCTGTCTTCCAAGACACCTCTGGGTGGGTTTAAACAGCCAACCTTTTGGCTAGTAGTTGAGCACTTAACTGTTTGCACCACCTCTGAGGGGATGAATTGGTCATGAAATCAGCTAAAGAGTTTCCTGATCTTCTCCAATAAAGTTTAGCAACCTGGGAAGGGGAGGAGATCTGGGAGTAAGTCAGAGTTATCAGAAAAATGGGGATTTCCAAGTTGCAGATCTTAGGGAAGTTGATTAAAAATTTGTGCCTATCTTAAACTTTTCTCTCAATTGGGCTTCAGTATCAAACGAGACAATATACGCAAAATCATTAAATCATTAATCGCTATGTAAATGTTAGGTGGTTTTTTGTTGTTATCGTGGCTGTTATAATCAAAAGCCAAAGGTAAGCAGATTGAAAATCTGAGGCAAATACAGATAATCACAATTCTAAACTTAAAAGAGAATTTTAAATGCATATATCTCCCGCAATACATAGATCAGTCTGAGCTAATGATGGAACAAAACAGTCATCAGCAGGCTCTCAGATCAATCACATAAAGAATTCGCCATACTAATAGGAAGAAATAAAAAACCAAGAACAGACAGGGATTATAAAACAACAGCACGGTGTTCACCAGTCACGGAACAGCAGTAAAGAATCATTGCCAACGACA